TAAAAAGGAGAAGAAGAAGAATGGTGCCAATTTATCACTTAGACCCTCAATGCTCTACTTCCACCATTCAGATAGAAGTTTCTATTGTGTGATAATGAGAAAAGAGCATAAGCCTTTGTGGCAGATAAACTGGACTCAAAGCCTGCTCTGCCCCTTACTATTTGCAAGACTTGAGCAAGTTAGTTAACTTTGAGGCTCAGTTCCTTCACCCATTAAATGTACTTACCTGGAGGGTTGTTGTCAGGCTTAAATGAGATCATGTCTATAAGTATCTAGTACAGCATCCAGCACATAGAGAGTACTCAGTAAAAGCTGTTCTTCTTCTCTTCTGATCTTGACTTCCTAACCTACCTACAATCTGCGTATAACTCTTGGCTGGTACCTTAACCCTGGCACAAATTAACCCCATTTAATTCCACCTTATCAGGCAGGGCTTCAGCCTTCTTCCTAATAGAGAGATAATGGGAAGTAATGAAAAAAAGAATGGACTCTGAGTTGCAAGGCTTGGATTTGAATATCACCTGTAAGTTGTGTGACCTTAGACAAATAACTTAATTTCTCTCAACTGTGGTCTCTGATGTATAAAATGGAGACAATAATACTCAACTAATTGTTTTCCCCCCAAAAGCACAGCTGATAATGGCAACTCACCTTTTGAACTTCTGTTAATTGTGCTTTTGTCGCTACCAGTGTGGTATTCCTCTCATGTAAGAGCTTCTTAAGTCGAATCAGCTCTATATTCTCCTTAATAGAAGCTCTATAGGAAGAAGATGGTGCTAAAATATTCTGTCTGAGAATGGACAAACTTAAGCATCTTTTCCCCCTGATTCTGCACCAAAAAGAATCTCTTCCTCTTGCTTGTCTGCCTATCTCCCCAATAACACACCAGAAATAGGAAGTGTATGCACACTCCCATAATAAATCTCCTTTCTCCCATTTCCCCTCATATCAGCTGAGATTTGAGAGACTACCAACTTTAAATTCAGTGCTCTGAGAAAACATAACAGTTAATTTTTTCAAGATTTTTGTAATTGATTTTTAGAGAGAGAGGAAGGGAGAGGGAGAGAAACATCAATGTGACAGGGAAATATGGATTGGCTGCCTCCTGCACAACCCCCACCAGGGACTGAGCCCACAACCCAGGCGTGTCCCCTGACTGGGAATCAAACTGGCAACCTTTCGGTGCATGGGATGATGCCTAACGAACCAACCAACAGTTATGTTTACAACATTTTCATTCATAATTGCCAAAAGTTGGAAGCAACCAAATTGTCCTTCAGAAAGTGAATGGATAAATTGTGGTACATTCAGACAATGGAACATTATTTGGTGCTAAAAAGAAATGAATTATCAACCAATGTCACTCAAATAAATTTAGTGAAAATAATAATAAAGAAATGAGTTATCAAGCCATGAAAACACATAAAGGAAATTTAAATAAAAGCCGATCTGAAAAGGCTACATACTGTATGTTTCCAACTATACAACATTCTGGACAATGACAAAATCACAGAGACAGTAAAAAAATCTGTGACATCAGGGGTAAGAAGGTAGGAAGGAAGGAATAGGCAGAGCATAGAGGATTTTTAGGGCAGTGAAACTATTCTGTATGATACTATAATGACAAATACATGTAATTATACATTTTTTGTTATTTTTATTGATTTCAGAGAGGATGGGAGAAGGAGAGATGGAAACATCAATGATGGGAGAGAATCATTGATCAGCTGCCTCCTGTACGGCCCCCCACTGGGGATTGAGCTCACAACCCAGGCATGTGCCCTTGACCAGGATCCTTCAGTCCACAGGACGATACTCTATCCACTGAGCCAAACTGGCTAGGGCCCATTATACATTTGTACCATAGAATGTACAACACACTAATAGAGAGATAATGGGATTGCTCAGTGATTAGGCATCAACCTATGAACCAGGAGGTCACAGTTCGATTCCTGGTCAGGGCATATGCCCAGGTTGTGGGCTTGATCCCCAGGATGGGGTGTGTAGGCAACCAATCAATGATTCTCTCTCATCATTGATGCTTCTCTCTCTCCCTCTCCCTTCTCTCTGAAATCAATAAAAAATATATATATTTTAAAAAAGAAGGTACAACACAAAGAATGAACCCTAAGGTAAACTATGGACTTTTGGTGATAGTGATATGTCAGCATAAATTCATCCATTATAACAAATGTATCACTCTGGTGTGGATGTTGCCAGTGCCGGAGCTGTGTGGAGATAACATAGGGGTTTATGGGAAATATCTGTACTTTCTGCTCAATTTTGTTGTGAACTTAAAACTACTCTAAAGACTAGCCCTATCGCTTCTCGGCCTTTTGGCTAAGATCAAGTGAAGACTAGCCCTAGCTGGTTTGGCTCAGTGGATAGAGTGCTGGCCTGCGGGTTGGATTCCTATCAAGGGCACATGCCCAGGTTGCGGGCTCAATCCCCAGTAGGGGGCGTGCAGGAGACAGCCAATCAATGATTCTCATCATTGATGTGTCTGTCTCTGTCTTCCTCTCTGAAATCAATAAAAATATAGTTTTAAAAACTAAATTTAAAAAAATTAAAGACTATTTAAAAACAGTTCTCCAGGAACAGGGCTGAGAATCCACCTCTATCTGGTGATGACGATGAAATAGTTTTTCTTCAATGAAGTGAAGCAGCAACTCTATTATACATAAGCATCCCCTTTAGGTTAATCCATTTCTTAACCCAGCTCTACTTTTAAGATTAAAGTTAATCTCAAGCATTCTTTTTTCCTCTTTGATACAAACAAGAATCTCTTGCTTTTTCAGTTCATTATTGCTTGAGGCACGGAATGCTACACTCTTACCGAAGCTCTGTGGCCTTCTGAGCACATTCCAAAGAGCTTCTCTGTTCAAAATCTTCATCTTTGGACCACATCGTCTCAGGAGACTTGGGTGATACTCCCACTTGCATAGTATTGCTAGTCATACTGTGGGCACTGTTAGGCATGCATAAACCAATGAGCTTACTCACAATTATGACTTTGCTGAAAGAAATTCTACTTTGCTGAAAGAATTAGGAACATTAAACACAAAAAAAAGAAATAGAAACTGCATCACAGAAGTTGAAGTGGAGAATTGGGCTCTCACGTATATAAAAAGAATTCAGAGGAATTGGTGATCTTGGTATGTGTGGAAGATAATCTGACAAAAGATAACTTTTAAGTTCAAACAGAAATATAAATACATTAAGACCTAAGGAATTAGAATTAGGAACATTAAACACAAAAAGAAGAAATAGAAACTGCATCACAGAAGTTGAAGTGGAGAATTGGGCTCTCACGTATATAAAAAGAATTCAGAGGAATTAGTGATCTTGGTATGTGTGGAAGATAATCTGACAAAAGATAACTTTTAAGTTCAAACAGAAATATAAATACATTAAGACCTAAGGAATCTACACTAATAAAAGAGAAACATGGTAATTGGCGTACGACCGCTACCCTTCCCATTGGCTAATCAGTGAGTATATGCAAATTAACT